AAAGACACTATCAAAATAAAAGCAGCAATAAAAAAAGCGGTTATTTTAACAGATCTTCATAAGAATCATTTACATGCAGTCTTCAGTGTTTACCTGTGCGCTCCAAGTTTTCTGTGTCTGTGTCTTTCAGAGTCAGTTGGAAAAACACTCCCTGCAATAGGCAAACAATGATAAAAGCACACAACTCTAATACAATAACTACTTAAAAAATCATGTTAAAAAACACTGCAAAGGTAAAACTCACTCAATAGGTCATCTTAAAAAAGACATGCAGAATACTAATAATAAATAAATAAATAATAAAACACGAAACACCCAATAAATAATCTAAACACAGCAAATTGATAATTAAGGCATACATTTAACCACATGATTCTGACCCTGTCACAGAATATCCTCTAAAGCTTTGTAATATTACTGTAAAAAACTGACTTTGTGTAAATGTATTTTACAGTGAAATATGACCAGTATGACATGATGCCAGATGATGGTACAGTATATCTAATTCATTGTATAATTTTTATAATTTCCACTAAAACCTATTGAATTCTTCTATGCCCGTTGGCCTTAACTTAACACTTTACAGTAAGGGACACAAACTTCTGAGAAGTTACAAGGGAACGAATGAGGAACTAACTGCTACTGAACAATTAGTTAATGAGTAACTCCTAATAATATGTTATAGTGATTACTTGAAACAGATGAGGGACAAACCAGGAACTGATGAGTGGTTAATAAGTACTTATTTAATAATTCCTAATGGAGGAATATATAGAAGATAATGATGAATTTCTGGAGAACAGGTAGTAGTTAGGCTACTAAATAGTCCGTCATTACTTCATCATTATCCTATGATTATTTACTCTTTTTGTGGCCTCTAAAGTAAACTGATGCATCATGATCATCATCATTACTGAGTACTCAATCATTACTTAATCATTGCTCACCCATATAAACATTGTGGATAAATGCCCTTAAAAGGACAAACCCTTCCGTATTGATAAAATAGTCAGTAGCAGTCTTTACCAAAATTATTCAGTATGTGTCTTGATGTTGTATGTATGTGGATGAGTAAGTAATCATAAGATAATGGTGAATTAATGAGGAAGCTAGCATTAAAGATTTATTAAAGAAGTATTTATTAATGACTAATCAATTTTCAATTCCTCACTCGTTTCTTAATTAAGTAATCATTAACTAATCATCAAATCAAATAAATGTTAGATTACGCCTGTGGTTCACTTTAAAGTTCCAGTGTGTTTAAGAGGATCTATTGTCAGAAATGAAACGTAATATTTGTAGGTATGTTTTTATTAGTCTATACTCACCTGAATATAGGTATTTTTGCAATTGTTGTTGACTTAGTATCCGTGGTGTTCACCATGTTAAACCATCATGTTTCTACAGTAGCCCAGAACGGACAAACCAAACACTGTATATATTTTTACAAGTTTCGCAGCTAGCGTAGTTTCTCCTTCACTGCTAGATGCCACTAAACCCTATACACTGGTCCTTTAACTGTTGAGGATTAGAATAATGGTGTATTTAGGGGTTTGTTTTAAAATTTGTCAGAATATGGATGTCAATTAATGCTATATATATAACAAGCTTTGTGTAAATCTATTTACAGTGGATATGGATATAGCGTATACAATCTTGCCCACCTATGAGCCAGTCATTGCACCAAGCTATGGTAAAGTATCTCCTACATGTAATTCATTGTATAGTTTATATAAAATCAGTCTATTTCTATTTCATAAGAAAATGTTGCCAAAAAAGTGCTGATGGAGCTGAATTTCCACCAATACCCTGTGTCCCTGGCCTAAACTTTGCACAAAAATGTATTTGACTATTTTTTACTAGTTTCTGAGATACTGTGGTAGCTAAGAGACAAACAAACATGACAGAAAACATAACCTCCATGGTAGAGGTATAATGCTATTGTGCTTTTCCCTGACCTGACTTTATTTGTTATCTTATCTAAATGTATTGTCTGCAGTGATGCCTGTGTTAAAAATACAAAATAAGTTTTTTACTGATCCCCACGTGAATTATCAGTCGTTATGTTGAGAGAAAAAGCAGTTTCTTTTCAGATGTTTCCTCCTGCTGTGTGACCATAAGTGTTTTTGTGTATCTCTGCAGCTCCTCTTTACCACAGGTTTTTGCTTAAAACTGTGAATCAGTCTCTTCCGCTATGCTTTGACGTCAGTGGAGATGTTGGCCTTAAACTTTTTCACCATCCCAACAAGGGTCAGTAATGTCTTTGTGCAGTCACTATTTTCCCACAGCCTAGTCAGTTAATAAACCTCTATTATTTTGCATCTTGTTCTCCAGGTGTATTAGAAAATTGTTGTTTTTTTCTCGTCAGGATATTTGTGATATGGTGCATATAGTGTGCATCAAACCATTAATTATTCCCATAGTTTGCAGTGGTGGATACATATAGTTATGTTATATTAAAATATATGATACATTTATTAAACACAATACCTTGTTAAAAATAATAATTAAACCAGTGGCCTCCGACATTCTTGGATTGTGACATTTCCCTTCAAAACTTCACGTAGGCCTGAAGAGGTAAATGTATCTGATATTTCACCATATGCTTTTGTAATTTTATTTATATTAGATTTAGATTGTTATAGTGGTATTTTTACTACAAGCAGCTACAAGGAACTTTTATTTTGTGTTAATTCCGGTGCTTTATTGGGCCAAAAAGGTAGTATTTCCATCAGCTACTTTCGTCTGAATCAGACCAAATTAGACCCGGAGGCAGGCATTAAGAATAACAATATATAAAAATGGCAGTTTTATAGCTGATGGTCTTGTTTGTTTTTGTAGGTCATGTAGGGCATTAGTATTAAACTACCACTGTTTAACTCCCTGTAGAACATTTAAGTGAAGTACTTGTATAGATGTGCTCTATAAGTGTGGTTGCGTTGGTTTTCTTTTGTACCAGAGCTGTCTGTGAACGGTGAGCTTGATTCAGTAAAGCATGGAGGTTTCAAAAGGATTGTCATCCACGTAAAGCCTGACCAGCATATTGAGGTTGACGCTGCTGGAATCACTGTACGAGACGGACAGAGAGCAACATCTCACACTGGACAGGATCTCTTGACCATTGGAAGGTGACTTTGCATTGTGATGGAAGGAATTACGCTATGATGATACTCAGTGGTGTGTACAGGGATGGGAAGGATGAAAATGCGCATGTGTTTTTTTTTACATCACATTACAGAAACTCTAAGGAATAGCTTGACATTTCGGTCAATACACATATTCAGATTTAGATGAGACTTATAGACATACGGCCATCAGCCTTCTATTTAATCTTACACTGCTGTTGTGAAATCCAGATTTGTATTTTTGTTTTTATACCTACAATGTCACTTTCAGCTCTGAGAGCCCATGAGAAGTAATAGATTACCTATGTGGGTGTCCATATTTTTCTAGTGTGACAGTGATCAGAAGGAACAAGGAAATAGATGTTGCAGTTGGAGACTCACGCATGGTCATCTTAGTCCAAGAGAAAGATGGCCAAGAATTCCTCTGGCCGGTTTTAAGACAGTGGCCATCGAACACCAGCGTGACAGGAATTTTAGGTGGGTTAAAACGTTGGATTTGCTTGTATGATTTAATATCAGGTCAACAATATATTGAATCAATGTTTGCACCCAGCTATGTTGGTTAATGGAGAAGTAATTCATTATAAGACAAATATTTTGTGCTGTGCCTCTTTTAAGCATTGCATGTTTTCAGTTTCATTGATTTGTTGTTTGTCCTCTGTTGTGTCCAGCTCTAAAGCCAGCAGTTTATGAGGAGGTGCAACAAACTCCCATAAGAAAACTTAAGATCAACAACCAGGACATTTTTGTAACCAGGTACATTTTGTTCTGTATTATCAGGTGGTATGAAAACGAGAGCAGTTTGAGAATTATTTTGACTCTGATACACAAAGATATCTGACCTTTATGTCTTTCTATTGTAGATCCACTGCTGTTGACTACAGTATTGTCTCTTCCCCGACTCTGGACTGCTGGCTCCTGTCTGCTGAGTCTGCCCTGCAGAGACCCCTGGAAGATTTCATCGTTTCTCAGATTTAACTGGGAAACATGTCGAATCACTTGCAAAGATTTAATTTAAAAGAAAATAAGGCAAAAACTAATTAATCTTGGAAAATAATTTCCACCTCTTACTAACATAAGCAAATAAACGGTATCCCAGATTTTTTTGTTGTCTTGTATGAACTTAATGTTTACCTAAAGGATTTGACCGAAAAAATGAGAAACGGTAAATCAAGACTTTATAGTGGTGTTTCTTCTACAGCACACTGCACTGCATGACATCAACTTACCTTTCAAAATGGGCAAAATGCTTAATGCTGTTAATAATATGCATCAAATCTACACTTTTTATTATTCATGTCAAATTAAAAATCATGTAATTAAGGCTAACCTGGTAAAGTTGGCGGCAATGAGTTCACATCCAACTTGTGGACCTTTACTGTGTGCCATACACTCTCTCTTCCCCCTCTCCTGTCAGTCTTAATCTGTCTTATCCAATAAAGGCAAGAAAGCCTTCAGAAATATATTTTTTATCAAAAAATAATGTTGTTAAAAACAAACTTTATTTTCAAATGATATTACTATACGTGATTATGCCGACACACCGTCTGTGATGTATCTACTCAAAGAGAGATATAGTGTATGAGGCTTGTATGCACATACAGGTATGTGCATACAAGGAATTTGACTCCAGTTTTACGTTGCTCTCACTGTACACACACAGACACAAACAGCATAGATAAACAGGATAACAAGCTCAACAAAATAGACATAAACTACTATGTACAAACTAAAAACAGTAACATTTGTCAGCAGTAGACAATAGTGCAAAGGATGCTGAAATGAATATATTACGTGCAGAATTCTTTATTTACATGAGGATGTGGATATGACAGTATAGTATACGCAGTATGCACAGCATGGGTAGATGTATTTAAATGATTGTATTTATGTTAAGAAGAACTGAATTCTAACAATGGTAAAATAAATCATAAATAGTTTACAGGTACAGTAGATGTTAGAGTCCCGGGGTTACTGTGCAGGGATTGTTCTTAACACTGTGTATCTGGAGTTAACTGTTCGTCAGAGTGATGGCCTGTGTGTAAAAGCTGCCAACTACCAAATAGGTAAAGAATGCATCAAAATGAACCTGCAACACTGTGTACGTCTGTTTATCCACAATGAAAAAACTAAAGTGAAAGTTCTTTGCTGTTTACATAATGTGATATTTGTACAGAAGTACCAGTGTTTGCGTATATGTACAAGGGTATTCAAATGTTGCCATTTGCCTGTGAAGCGAATATAATGGAGAGCAAATAGAGAAAACTCAAACTTAATAACTCATACAACTGTGGGGGAAAAAATATTACTGGCATTACAACAATATAACAAATATAACAAATAAAATGTCCTGCATACAGAACTTTACTTATGGTAAATTTGAAATTTGAAAACTGTTCATTGCTGGTAGTTTAAACAAAGATAAGGTATCTTATCTTATCTGGAAACTACCAACTACAGCAATCAGTAATCTGAAATATTGCAGAATAAATGTATAAATCCTTATAACATGGAAATGTTCAGTATCAGTTCTCTCACATTCAGAGCTGCAGTAACTATTGTAATGGCAATTTTTAAGAACCTAAACTACCCTTTGACCTGGTCATTGCAAAACCATATACAACCTGTTAAAGAGGCTATTATATACATGTAACCTTCAACCCTGTCTAACTACACTCTATGTCCAAGTAAACAACCTGGATGTTAAGACTTCACTAAGAAGCCAAGGACATGACCATTGCACCACACTATCAGTCTGTTTACTGTCCCAGAACTCAGGAATGTGTAACTGTGTTAGAGTGACGCTCCAACAGGGATAAAATCATACTGCTTCTTACAATCTTATCTCTTTCTGACTTTCACATACAGGAGTTTGTGACGGTTGCGAGTCCATTCATGGATGACTTGAATA